AACACGTTCGCTTTTACATAATTATCACGCAATGCTTAAAATCGGATATTAAACCAATCAACTATCAAATGCTTTACAATTTTAATATGTAGATTAGATATGAAAGCAGTTAATAAGTGCAAACTAATATTGGTGAAACTTTTCTTAACATCGATGTGTACACGTCAATAACATATACTGTTAAATCACCAGTGAACACCCACCAACTGGTCGCCATGTTGACACGGGAGTCTGCAGTCCTGACATTGGAGCATCAACCGTGGGTTGCATAACAGACACCAAACACATCGAGGGTCGTGTGTAACTCACTTGATTGGCAATTAGAATGCCATCAACGAACATGCCAATTCATGCATGTCATGGCTTTCTGCTGGGCACAAGGGACTAGGTGACGAGCTTAAGGGCCAATGTCATGTGGAGACTGTTTTGAGAAAAGTGATGAAAACACAATATTATGCATGTTAATAAACTTTTTCCCCCCGATAAATTCCGAGACTGTACGCAGAGATATAAATGTTGTTATAAAAAAAACATTGAAAAAAGGAAATAAACTGACGTTTTTTAATTTGTGTAAGGGCGGAAAGGGCCAGTGTCTGTGTTTTGGCCCTTTTTTACCCTCAGGCATTTGCATGGAATTTAACATGTGAGATTGATAAACTACTACTGAAAATACAAACACATACTATTGAAGTACTTTTAAATGATTTAAACTAATACCAACTTTGTTGAAATAGTTGAAACATAATAATAAGGTGTCCAAACTTTCAAAATCTCTCTCAGACAACCTGTCTCAACCACACACGGAAATGAGAGCTAAAACGGCCAAAATCTAGCAAAGTGACTTTGGCCCTTTTGGAACTTGACTTTGGCCCTTTTATAGAATTTTAAGCAGCTTTATTTAAAAAACTCATCAATGAAAACAATATTTTTTCTGCAGGTAGACAAGAACTCATAGATGTTATTTATGCAATAATATGCAAAAAGAGCCAAAGTTAATTTTGGCCCCTCTTAGCTCTAAGCTCTTCAGGTATTTCCCTGACATAACAGAGTGGTGATATACATAGACGATTAGCATGTTGTTGTGATACGCCAGTCATGTTTGGATGGGCAGGAATTTTAATCCTTCGGCTGATGGCGATATATGCTTTAATACCTCCGTCTGCTGATAGCGATATAAGCTTTAATACCTCCGTCCGGTGATAGTGATATATGCCTTGATACCTCCGTCCGGTGATAAAGATATATAATTTAATACCTCCGTCTGGTGAAAGCGATATAAGCTTTAATACCTCCGTCTGGTGATAGTGATATATGCCTTGATACCTCCGTCCGGTGATAGTGAAATATAATTTAATACCTCCCTCTGGTGAAAGCGATATATGCTTTTATACATCCGTCTGGTGATAGCGATATATGCGTTAATACCTCCCTCTGGTGAAAGCGATATATGCTTTGATACCTCCGTCTGGTGAAAGCGATATATAATTCTTTACCTTCGTATAGTGACAGCAATATTTGCTTTAATACCTTCGTATAGTGACAGCGATATATCCTTCAATAACTTCGTCCGTAGATGTCATGATACCTTCGTCTCGTGCAGATTTATCTAAAAATGAAGTAAGGCATAGACGTTGAAAGATGCTACTTGTTGGTACCCTGCCTGACGCTCGAAATTAAGGCGCTGGTCAGCTCGGAGTCATTACACTGTGTCTGAGTAAGGTATTCACGTTAAATTGCAGCATGGTATCTCAGTCCGCTAGCACTATAAAATCGGCATCACTCCGGACTAGTACAAGCAGCCACACATCCACACACGTGCATGTAATTCGCAATATAAGTGCAACAATCTTGGACGCGACGTTAAACCCCATTTCACCTCACCTTGTATTCTCCTCGATCATTTTCGTGTTTTCAGTAGCAAAATATTATCGGTACAAGCAAGCGAAACGCACTCAGTGCCTTTCTCGTTCAATATATGTCTGTGTACATACCTTCGTTTGTTTTTGACAGGTATTGGTTTTATTAATTGCAACGTGTGTCCATTCGTTTAGCTACATCTCAATACAGAGCGCCTACAGTGCACACGATCGAACATGTCACGTAGATTAACACCACTAGATATAGCTATGCCTGTTTATTATAACAGCGTCTATGTATAATATAGCAGCGTGTATTGATTATAAAACAGCGTGTATTGGTATCAGGTCAACATCCAGAGACAACATGCTGTGTCAATGTGTTTGATTTATCTGTTTCCATGCATAAACTGGCGGTGGGGTAGCCGAGTGGTTACGCGTTCGCTCGTCATGCCGAAGTCCGGGTTCGAGTCCCTGCATGGGTAAAAGTATTGCTGTGCGGTGTCTGGCAACAAACAAACACTATCTTAATTAACATTTTGCAGGACTGTTTACCATTTAAATGGTCCATATATATATACAAGGTGAGGTGAAATGGGGTTTAACGTCGCGTCCAAGATTATTGCACTTATATAGCGTGTGTGTGTGGCTGCTTGTACTAGTCCGGACTGATGCCGCTTTATAGTGCTAGCTCACTGAGATACCATGCCGCAGTTTTACATGAATACCCCACTCAGACACAGTATACTGACTCCGAGCCGACCAGTCCTTGTTTTAGCCCCTTAATGCCGAGCGCCAGACAGGGTAACAACAAGTACCATCTTTTAACGTCTTTTGGTATGACGCGGCTGGGGATCGAATCCCAGACCCTCAGCTCTCCGGGCGGACGCTCTACCACAAGACCAAGGAGGCGGTCCCATATATATACAAAACAATATTTTAAGGAACCTTGTCATTTCAGCTAGAAGAATGAAATGACCAACTTTGTTGCACGTGACACAGTTACTGAATGCTGACAACACACTCGCTCACATCGTGCACGTACACAATAAAACACGCCGTCAACGTCAGCGGTGCTACATCCGGGTTACTTGCATGGGTCAATAAACGTCACAACCACATGGTTCTTTGATTTGGTGCAACGAAGAAAAATGCCTAAAAAAATGACAGAAATGGAAATAAATATGGGCGCAAGAGCCATAGGTGAAGCCGGCCAATCCCCGAATGCAGTTGCTATTGGAACGATATCGGCAAACGGGTGGGGAAGAGATTAGGGTGTGTACTTTCTTCTGCCCGGGGGTGTTAGTTCAGGGGGGTAAATATGTGTACTTAATTGATGTAAACTGAGGGTCTTAAAAAGTATACCGAGTTTGTTTTATATATAATTGAAAATTAATAGAAGTGTTTTTCAATTTGATTATGTCTATTTAACCATTAACCATTCCTGCAACTGTTTGTAGTAAGGCAATCTATGGCTGGGTCACTTTGTGTCAACATGCATTGGTTCGAATTCATTGAAGACTGGGATAAGAAAGGAATTTACATGACCCCTACCGTGTTTCAAATTTTGTAAATATTTTTTTAGTTTTAAATCAAATGATATTTTAAAAGTATAATAACATGTAGAAGTATGCAATAGCGCCGACTAAACGCCAGTACAGTTAACTGTGTGGATATCATATCGCTAACATAGGATATTGTCATTTAAAAATCAAATATATCATAAAGTCAGCTGAGATGTATAGCTTATATTGCCACTCAAATGACATTTGCCTTCATTTTTTGCAAATTGTCGTGAACCTTTGAGTATTCACTTAACGGGTCTAACGTGCGTATTTGACCCGTGAAGATCCGGGGTAGAATAAGCCTTCAGTGAGCCATGCTTGCCGTAAAAGGCGACTATGCTTGTCGTAAGAGGCGACTAACGGGATCGGGCAGTCAGGCTCGCTGATTTTGTTAATGCATGTCATCGATCTCAATTGCTTGGATCGATGGTCATGACATCAAGCACTGGATTGTCTGGTCCAGGCTCAATTGTTTACAGACCGCCGTCATACAGCTGGAATATTGCTGAATGCGGCGTTAAACAACAAACAAACAAACGAATATAACGTGTGTCTTTACCTGTATATTTACTTGCAGGGTATAATGTGTCTATTTACTTGCAGGGTATAACGTGTGTATTTACTTGCAGTATATAACGTGTGTATTTACTTGAAGTATATAACGTGTCTATTTATTTGTAGGGTATAAAGTGTGTATTTACTTGCGGGGTATAAAGCGTGTATTTACTTGCAGTATATAACGTGTGTATTTACTTGAAGTATATAACGTGTCTATTTATTTGCAGGGTATAAAGTGTGTATTTACTTGCGGGGTATAAAGCGTGTATTTACTTGCAGGGTATAAAGCGTGTATTTATATTACTTGCAGGGTATAAAGTGTGTATTTACTTGCCTGGTATAAAGTGTGTATTTACTTGGCAGTATATAACGTGTGTATTTACTTGGCAGTATATAAGGTGAGCATTTACTTGGAGAGTATAACGTGCGTATTTACTTGCGGGGTATAAAGCGTGTATTTACTTGCAGGGTATAAAGCGTGTATTTACTTGCAGGGTATAAAGTGTGTATTTACTTGCCGGGTATAAAGTGTGTATTTACTTGCAGGGTATAACGTGTGTATTTACTTGGCAGTATATAACGTGAGCATTTACTTGCAGGGTATAACGTGTGTATTTACTTGGCAGTGTATAACGTGTGTATTTACTTGGCAGTATATAACGTGAGCATTTACTTGCAGGGTATAAAGTGTGTATTTACCTGCCTGTATAAAGTGTGTATTTACTTGGCAGTATATAACGTGTGTATTTACTTGGCAGTATATAACGTGAGCATTTACTTGCAGTATATAACGTGTGTATTTACTTGGCAGTATATAACGTGTGTATCTACGTGAAGGGTATAAAGTATGTTTTTACTAGCAAGGTATAAAGCATGCATTTACTTGCAGTGTACAAGGCGTGTATTGTGTGCGAGGGTATAACCCTTGTATATTATCTTCCATGGTATTACGCGTGCATTTATGTGAAAGGTATAAGCTGTATAATAACGTTCAGTGTATAGCGTGTGTATTTATTTGCAGGGAACAATGAATCTGTAGGCGACACTCTATGGAGGTCCAGGGTATCGAGAAGAAACACGCTGACCAGTTCCCCTATTCTGGAATCAGAGTGCTCGGAGCTGTCCAAACCGGAATCGGTGTATCATGTGCGTTGCTCGGTGGCCTTGACCTGGCGTTGACTTTGACAAACCGCGATGCTGAACGTCAAACAGCCAGTACTGTTGCAGCGTCCTTGATGGTGTACGACACGCTCGTGACGCTAACTGTGGCTGCGTGTCCTCTGTGGTGCGGGATGTGGGTGAGTGGTTCACAGATACGTGGCAACAGTTGTAGACTCGGGATGGGGATGGGAGTGAGGGGGTGGGGATAGATCTGCGTGTTCTTATGGTGCAGGAAGAGAGCAGAACTCTGGCAACAGTTGTAGACTCGGGGTGGTGATAGGAGTGAGGGGGCGGTGATGGAACTGCTTGGGAGGGGGATGTGGGCAGTGACGTTTTTTAGCCAGGAATATCTTGTCACAGTATGAGTGAGGCAGTTAGTTTTATTCCAATTTGAAGGATATTACAGTTATATATCACTTGAGAGCTTCACGAAGGAATAAATCCCCTGTCACGATTGGGGCTCTAGAGCTCTAGAGCAGTGATGTGGCAAATCACTGTTCAATCAGGGCGAGCCTGGGGTTCAAACAAAACATCAAAGGATCCTGGCATGCTTAAGGGACGCAACTCTTCACACTGTCGTTGAAAGTTGTGTGTTACTGTAGCCTTCACAAACACGGAGCCCCTGCAACCCATCAACTCGTGACTGTATGTTTTCCAATGTGTCACTTCCGGTTTGTTTTAGACAACGACCTCATTGCGAAGCTATCATATATTTGGCCATCATAAGGGTTGCCTTAAGAAATGTTAAAATGTGATGATACTTTTTCATAACAATGCGAAATAATCTAGGTAAAAAAAACCTGACATAACAAGTTTTAGGATGTTTTACGTGAGACAAACACATCAAATGTCCAAAATGAATTTATTAAATCTTTTACACGGAGTTAAAAAAGAATTGCAGATGTAATCTTAATCTGTATCTTTAGCAAGCAAATTTTTCTTTTATCATAATTCAAAAGCCATACATTTACAAGGAACATAACTTACATGATCTAAATCTAAAGAAAGTTTGTATTGCTTAATAGCAAGGTTCCAATGTTGATAGCACGATCATTTTGATGCAACTGGGCACGACTCCTTTATTAAAATGACGATTATCACTTCCTTCATGTATATCCATTTAATTCTATGCTAGGAAATAAGTGTCTTAAAACATATTATGTCCACCCCAAAGTCTTTATAAAAAATAATAAAAAGCTCCAAAGTTTTGTGTGGGGGCGTTTTGGGTCTTACCATAGCGTGAGACGTACTGAGACGAGTGTATGTACTGTAATGTGCGACTGACGTCTATTTGGCGATCTGTAATCCTGGCAGCTGTCCACAATATCAGCGTCTTTTCACAGTTTTAACCGACTGTTTGTATTTGTACATGGAGTATTGTATTGCTTCCCACGGGGCGAGATGTGCAGCACGTCTGACAAAGAGACGCGAGTGGGTGTCTGTCATCCGCCGACTAATACATCTGGTCGGCATCGCAGTTGGAATTTTATTGCAACGAAACTATCGCATAATTCAAAACTTGTTTCACGATCGAACTTACCCGACAGAAGAACGGTTTTACAACAATGCATGATATAATTCTAAAAAAACCAGTCACTAACTTTTATTAAAAGGTAGTTGTTTGTGATTTGAATTTAGAATTCGGTTGCATCGTAAAACAGGAAGCGCACGTTTATGACTGTAATATCTTTGTAACCAGCGCTTGGCGTATTTCACCCACCAAGAAACCGGTGAACAACCGGTTTAGAATAGGCCTTCACCAACCCACGCTATGTCAATCGTAAGATACGACTGACGGGATCGGGTGGTTGATGCATGTCATCGTATCCCAATTGCATAGATCGCTGTTCATGCTGTCAGTCAGTGGATTGTTTGGTCCAGACTTCATTAGTGGGGCGATAGACAACAACCAATCAATGAGTATTGTTTTACGCCGCTTTTAGCAATATTCCCACACCATAAGTGGGCCTTACACATTGTACCCTTGTAGGGAATCGAACCCGGGTCTTCGGCGTGACGAACGGACGCTTTAACCACAAGGCTACCCGACCGCCCCTTACAACCAAGCAAACAAACAATCATCCACCGTGTAGACAAAAACGTAAATGTAAAACATATATATGTTGTGTCACTCGATATATGTAATCTTCACATTGTCTGTTCTGACAGCGATCAGGGTCTAGATTTTCGAAACGATCGTAGCCCTAAATTAATCGTAAAGTTATCGTGAGGAAATCGTAAACTATCGTAGCCTATTTTCGAAACTACCGTAGCCATAAGATATCTTACGTTTGTCGTAAATCTAAGGTGTCATATCTGTCGTAAGTTTATTTTATCTTCATCCAAGATGGCAGCATACTTTGCCATGGACATTTTTAAGGATGAAGCTGACAATGAATTGATGACAAGAGAGTGGATATTCCGAGAACTCGTCGTCTCGACTTGGAGCTATTTCCCCGCTAGAGAATACCTCTCCAGGTGATATTCAACTTAATGCAACTATGCAATCATTTTACCATCGACACATCTTAGCTAAGATCGTTCCGAAAATCTAGACCCAGAGAAGTTATACAAATCTTATTCTATCTTAAATACAAACATCGACTGTCTACAACTGTGTGTCTGTCATCCGTCACTGCCATTACATAATCGGCAGCGTTGTTGAAATTTTATAGAAAAAAATAACCAATATAATTTCAAAAAGTGAAGATCGGTTTTACGAGGGCCAATATATGCATAATAAAATTCTATAAAAACAAATTACTAATTTTTTTTACTAACAGCTAAGGTCCGTAGCTGTTTGTGGTTTGAAATAAGAATTTCGTTGCATCGTAAAACATAACAAGAAACGCAAGTTTATTATTGCTATATAATTGTAACCAGAGTGTGACTTGTTTTATCCATCGAGTAGAAAAAGAACATAAACGTACAAATATATACGAAGTGTTTGTGTTGGATACATAAATGGCCAGATTGGCCGTCCACAATACAATACAGAAGTTGTCATCCATAAATTTCTTGTCCTTGCTGTTATTACAAACTTCTAAAAACGACAATCAAACAATTCGGGAATCTATTTAAAACCGGAATCTCCACAGGGAGGCAGGAGGGGTGAATGCGATGATTTACACACTGAAGCAGCCCCATGTCACTATGACAACGTGGGACATGCGACCGAGCTTTTCACACGCCCCCCCCCCCCCCCCCCCCCCCCCCCCCCCATGGTGTTGAGTCAAACCGTGCTGGAGGCGTGACCAGACACCACCAGGCAGATGTGTCGTCCTCCATGCCCTAGAGCGAGCACGCTAGAGCAACACAACTTGTTCTTCGTAGTTGAGCCCCTTATCTGGTACAAGATCCGCGTCAGCCTACCGGTGCTTGTGGGTTTCATCCGAGTGGTTAAAACCCTGCATCAAATTAAACTTCAATCTACATTAAGCTGTTTGTTAGTTTGGTGTTTAACGCCGCACTCGGCAATGTTCCAGCTATATGACGGCGGTCTGAAACATAATCGAGTCTGGACCAAAATATCCAGTGATGGATATAATGAGCATTGATCCACGCAATAAGGATACGATGCATCAACCAAGTCAGCGAGCCTGACCACCCGATCCAGTTAGCCACCTCTTATGACAAGCATAATCGTCCTTTACGGCAAGCATGGGTTGCTGAAGACCTATTCTACCCGGATTTTCAACCATAAATGTCGGTGGAGTTACGTCCCTTGTGTACCGCAGGATACACTGATCTGCAATAACGTATTGTTAATGTCTGTGTTTCAGTTTATCATCGCGGGGGCAATAGGCACGTGCGTGTCACGTGTCAGGGCCCACAGCCTCCTATTTTTTGTAAGTATACACCTGGTTCATCATTCAGGAAGACACGCATGTATATCGCATACATAATCATACGAAAGAATGCATCTCAGATTTACTATAGTAATATGAAAGGATTCGGTTTTTTCAACTTGAATCTAGTTTGCTCTGATATTCAATTCCTGATAAGTAACGCTTATATTCACTGGAAAGCGAAACTAACTGTCACTTTTAATGTAAACGTCATCAGTAATTCGGGTGACTGTGTTGTTTCCGGCATTATCTGATAAACTGGTTTTGTGATTCAGCGCAACACTTTCCTGACGCTGAGTGTGCTGTGTGCAGCCTTGTTCGGCCCCGCCTGCTTCGGAGTCACGTGCTTCGAGGCTGTCCTGGTGAGTTCGGATATACGCCCATCTCACAGTAGTCACGTGCTTCGAGGCTGTCCTGGTGAGTTCGGATATACGCCCATCTCACAGTAGTCACGTGCTTTGAGGCTGTCCTGGTGAGTTCGGATATACGCCCATCTCACAGTTGTCACGTGCTTTGAGGCTATCCTGGTGAGTTCGGATATACGCCCATCTCACAGTTGTCACGTGCTTTGAGGCAGTCCTGGTGAGTTCGGATATACGCCCATCTCACAGTTGTCCCGTGCTTTGAGGCAGTCCTGGTGAGTTCGGATATACGCCCATCTCACAGTTGTCACGTGCTTTAAGGCTGTCCTGGTGAGTTCGGATATACGCCCATCTCACAGTTATCACGTGCTTTAAGGTTGTCCTTGTGTGTTCGGATATACGCCCATCTCACAGTTGTCACGTGCTTTGAGGCTGTCCTGGTGAGTTCGGATATACGCCGTCCTCACAGTAGTCACGTGCTTTGAGGCTGTCCTGGTGAGTTCGGATATACGCCCATCTCACAGTTGTCACGTGCTTTGAGGCTGTCCTGGTGAGTTCGGATATACGCCCATCTCACAGTTGTGCAAGGTTGCGATGTGTTATTTAGTAGCGTGTTGATACAATGTTACATGGTTACATGATGTTACAATGTTACACCCACAGCGCCACGGCCTGTATGCTGACGACTAACCGTGCTTGATTCAATGTTACATGGTTACATGATGTTACAATGTTACACCCACAGCGCCACGGCCTGTATGCTGACGACTACCGGTGGCTAATCCCCCTGCTTGTGGCCTTCCTGTCACTGTTTGAGATCACACTGGCCATCGTCAGTGCCGCCATGTGCTGTTGCTGCTCCTCTGTGCAACTCACCAAGGTACGTCATATTCCCGCTCTTCTCACCAAGGTTTGCTATATCCCTGTGCAACACACCAAGGTACGTCATATCCCGTGCAACTCACCAAGGTACGTCATATTCCCGCTCTTCTCACCAAGGTTTGCTATATCCCTGTGCAACACACCAAGGTACGTCATATCCCGTGCAACTCACCAAGGTATTATGTTCCCGCTCTTCTCACCAAGGTTTGCTATATCCCTGTGCAACTCACCAAGGTACGTCATATCCCGTGCAACTCACCAAGGTACGTCATATTCCCGCTCTTCTCACCAAGGTTTGCTATATCCCTGTGCAACTCACCAAGGTACGTCATATTCCCGCTCTTCTCACCAAGGTTTGCTATATCCCTGTGCAACTCACCAAGGTACGTCATATTCACGCTCTTCTCACCGGGAATCGTTATATCACCGTGTAACTCACGAAGGTACGTCACAACCCGTTCAACTCACCAAGGTACGTCACAACGCGTGCAACTCACCAAGGTACGTCAAATCCCTTGCAACCCACCAAGGTACGTCATGTCGCCTTGCGCCTCGCCAAGGTTCGTCTTACTTTTAAGCATCTGTTAGCTCCGTGCAACTCACTAAGGTAGGTCATATCTGCAGTCTCTCAATAATAACACTTCCACTGTTTTAGGTGCACGTGCTGTTCGCAGCTCCCTCTAGCGGCCCGACACCACAGGAAGTATTCCGTCTGGACATGAATGACTCCCCAAGACGTCCTTCAACTTATATGATGCCAGGTCAAGGTCGAATACGGGCACTTCCCACACCGGAAGCAGCCCAAGAGGCACCACGCCCAGAAGAAGCTTATATCAGGCTGAAGAAATGGGCGTTGCCGGACTAACGTCGTCCTGACGTCTTTGAGAGCAGTCCACTACACGAGTCGAGCTATTCAACCTTTCTTTTTTTTTAATTATGTTGACGATGTACGGCCATGGCGGATGTTATGTTGAGAGTCGCGTTACAATGGTGACGCTCTGTGTTTGGTTAAACGATATGGAGTCAGTATAATAGTGAGGCATCTTACTTTAAACGAAATCTGTTTACCTGGGTATATAATCATCTTTATTATATACTTCAGTGTGAAAGACTGAGTTTTCTGAAGTTGAGAAAAATGATATTTCACTGCAGTCAACATAACATTTGATTTTCACTGCGGTGACTTTCAGGGTACTATTGTCATACAAGAGTTACCTCCCCTTGAATTGTCTCCCTTTATGTATACAAACTGTTGACACCGTTTGTTGGTTTGTTGTTTTACGCCGCACTTAGCAAAATTCCAGCTATATGACGGCGGCCTGTAAGTCTGGACCAGACAATCCAGTGATTGATATCATGAGCATTGATCCACGCAATTGGGATGGATGACATGCTTCAGTTAGTCGTTAAATCTTTTGTAGGTTAGTTGAAAAAATGACAGACGGTCATTTATGGAGTTAATTATCGCTTCTTGCCGTTTGTTATACTCTAGAAAATGTTTCGTTATAAACTGTAAATTCATCATTTAACTCGTCAGTTGAGACTTTTTATTTTGCAAAGTGCATTTTGCGTGTATTCCTTCGCTTCCAACAGCGGTCTCGTAGCTTTCAAGAATATCTTTGTAAGTTAATTTTGTATATAATCATATCCAAATGTATGACAAAGAATTTTCGTGACCAAGAATACTTTTGTAGACTTTTGTATATATTTTTTAAGATTTTGCAAACTCGGACCTACTTTCTAAGTCGCAATTACAAGGGTTGGTGAAACGTCCCTGCGTGTTAGGTATGGAGAATTTACGTTTCAAAGTTTTACATTTATAATGTAAAATATAATTTTCCGGTAGAAAAATACACAAAAAGTATATAATTAGTAGGATATTCCATGTGTCTCATTAAATATCATGGTATTCTCATCTCGTGACGTTGGAAAGGAGATAATTTCGATGAGAGAAATATAATATTTCACTAGACACGTGAAATATCCTCCATATATACTGATACATGTCGCCACTGTTGACTCTTTATTTGACAGCTGACATTGACCAGGTATCATCATTAAGTTGTTTCTGCGATGCATGTGTTTCCTAAATGAAGCTCTTGAAGTACTCGGGGTTTCATGGCTTCAACTATTTATTGCCATACAATGAGGAGACAATGAGGACACAATGAGGAGACAACAAATTCAAGAAACTGAATATACAGAGGGTAAAAAAAGAATTATACCGAATTTGTGTTTCATGAAATTAAAAATTGAAAGCATCTGTTGTTAAATTTGATTGTGTCTATTTAACCGTCACTCATTCCTTCAACAGTTTGTAAAAAGGAATTCGTAGCTTAGTAATTAAGTGTACACATGAATATAAAGATACAATTGAAATGTTTGAAATGTTCGAAGTTTTTGCCGAAAAAACCCACATTTATTGATTATTAACAATAAGATGTCAAGATTCCCATCATCAGTTGTGTATCGGTTTTTTATTTTTGATGTTTTTAAATCCGATTATGCTCTACAAAATACAACCATGCGTGTATTCAAGCTTTCAGTTAATGTTTCGGATATAATACATAGCGGCACAGTACTGACCACCCAATCCACACGTGGTTATAGTCCTACATAGTGGCACAATACTGACCACCCCATCCACACGTGGCTATAGTCCTACATAGCGGTACAATACTGACCACCCAATCCACACGTGGTTATAGTCCTACATAGCGGTACAATACTGACCACCCAATCCACACGTGGCTATAGTCCTACATAGCGGTAAAATACTGACCACCCAATCCACACGTGGCCGCGGCTGCACGAGGTGGTATGAAATAGGCTTTATGCGTTCCGTTCAATGTATTCGAATTTATATGGCGACGTGTGTGTTTGTGCGTGCGTGCGTGCGTGCGTGCGTGCGTGCGTGCGTGCGTGCGTGCGTGCGTGTTCTATAGTGCTCGCTCACTGATATATCCCACTCGTTATACTGACCCTGAGCCGACCAGTCCTTGTGTCATCTCCCTGATGCCGAGCGCCAGGCAGGGTGACAGCATCTACCATCTTTTATCATGACCTAGTATCACAGAGCCTTGAGATCAATCCACTATATCTGTCTGATTGATGCACGTGTAAACATGTATGTGTACGTTAGTTCAATAAAACACTGTCTTCCAACACATAGAGTTTGTTTGCCGTGTTGCCGTGTGTCTCTAGTGATTAACACACACTGGAAAATCGTATTTACTTTGCAAATCGCTTTACAAGAACACACTTTCGTTGGAAAAATGTTACTAACAAGAAAACACTATAGTTGAAAAATGTTGTTTTTAAGAGTACACTGTCGTTGACAAAGTAGAGATAATTAATGGATAACAACTTCTTTATTTACTGTAAAGGCGGCGTTTCAATATTGATCCTTATACAATTGAATTGCTTGATAGACATTACTTACAAGTTGGCGGATGGCAAAGTAGACACAATTTACAATAACAAAGATTTCAGACACAATTTACGATAGCAACTTTTGTTGTAAAAACGTTATTTACAAAAATACACAATCCTTTTGAAAATGTTCATTTCAAGAATACGCTATCACTGTAAAAAAAATTTTATTTGCACGAACACACCATCGTTGTAAAACCATTATTTTACAAGAATGCACTATCGTTGTAAAAATGTAAATTACAAAAAAACACAGTATAGTTGTAAAAATGTTAATTCCAAGAATAAACTCGCAACATCGCTATTTGCAAGAATACAATATCGCATTAATAGTGAGTAAGTGAGTGAGTTCATATTTAACGTCACATCGCCAGTATTTCAGTCATATCATGACGGGCTATCTATCGCATTTATGATCGGTCTTGTTCCTCCAGACTATGTGAATGTGTAGACACTATACCACACCCCAAGGCTAAACACACACAGGTGATTAAACCAGGCTTATCTTATTTACACACCAAGCAACAATGTGTGTGTTCATGACTTAGGTTGTCCGTGTAAGTGAAGTGTTTACTGGAGAATTGTGTATGTCATGGTGTGGTACTAACAATAGGCTAGCTATGTTGGCGGATGTTCCATAATTGACGGACACAACGAAGGCAAGTCGCGTGATGTTATGAGTATTGACAACAGGACAATGTACGACAAGCAAGAGACAAACAAGAGTGCAATAAATGATTAAATCCAAACAGTTTGTCGAAACCATTTCGTTGTTGTAGCAACTGACTAAACGTGTCCTGTCAAACATTTAAACTGACTTTTGCATTGACAATTTTTATCGACGTTTTAAGTCAATATTCCTTGTTAATTTGCACATTTTGCCCGTCTGTTCTCTCGACAAAGCCTATACGTCTTCCGGCTAAACAGTCCATGTTTCTAACTGAGACAAAATTGTTATGGATGAGCAACTTCTTTATTACAATTGGGCGACGTTTCGGTGTAGATTCTAACACCGTTATCAAGCAATTTTGTCTTAGTTACAATTCCAACTTCTAAATGCCTCTCAAAGAAGTTAGTCCATGTTTCATTGGGGCGACAAAACTCAAGATGATGCAGGTGGAGAAGCCTGGTAGTTCGACAAATCAAAGTTTTGGAGATGCGGTAGTTAAGTAATTTGACAAATCAAAGTATTCGTGGCGGGGTAGCCTGGTAGTTTCACGCGGGTTCGAACCCCTGAACGATTTCACGTTAATGTGGGCACAGTATTATTGTCTAATACATAGATAATGTAGGGATGTTTATAACCGATATGCTCCTCTAGATTTCACATTAATGTAAGCACACTATTATTGTCTAATACATAGATAATGTAGGGATGTTTATAACCGATATCCTCCTCTACAGCCACCCAGTCACTCACGCACTGTATAAGTTAGCCAGGGAGTACAACCTATTGTGGTTTGGCTTATCGAAATTATGTCATATTTCAGCAATACTATGCTGTTGACAGTAATATCTCCACGAAATCCCCTTCACCATGATAAAACAACGGAAATACATGGCAGAGGCCGCGTCTCAAATCATATGTCAGAGATCCTGAAGTGTCTATTGTATGTCAGATCTCCTGAAGTACAGAAAGAGGGTTACAGTGTCTATCATATGTCAGATCTCCTGAAGTACAGAAAGAGGGTTACAGTGTCTATCATATGTCAGATCTCCTGAAGTACAGAGAGAGGGTTACAGTGTCTATTGTATGTCAGATCTCCTGAAGTGTCTATTGTATGTCAGATCTCCTGAAGTACAGAGAGGGGGTTACTGTGTCTATCATATGTCAGATCTCCTGAAGTACAGACCGCCTCCGTTGTCTTGTGGTAGAGCGTCCGCCCGGAGAGCGGAAGGTCCAGGGTTCGATCCCGGGCCGCGTCATACAAAAAGACGTTAAAAGATTGTACTAGTTGTTACCCTGTCTGGCGCTCGGCATTAAGGGGCTAAAACAAGGACTGGTCGGCTCGGAGTCAGTATACTGTGTCTGAGTGGGGTATTCATGTTAAACTGCAGCATGGTATCTCAGTGAGCTAGCACTATAAATCGGCATCAGTCCGGACTAGTACAAGCAGCCACACACACACATACACGTGCATGCACGTCGCTATATAAGTGCAATAATCTTGGACGCGACGTTAAACCCAATTTCACCTCACCTCACCTGAAGTACAGAGAGGGGGTTACAATATCTATCATATGTCCGATCTCCCGAAGTACAGAGAGAGGGTTACAGTGTCTATTGTATGTCAGATCTCCTGAAGTGTCTATTGTATGTCAGATTTCCTCAAGTATAGAGATAGTGTTACTGTGTTTATCACATCAGAGAGAAAGTGTGATTGATTGGCTATTCTGGCACAGGCGTCATGTTGATATAGTCACTCCGTTGACAGCCGGGTCATGTTGATATGGTCACTCCGTTGACAGCCGTGTCATGTTGATATAGTCACGCCATTGACAGCCTTGTCATGTTGATATAGTCACGCCATTGACAGCCGTGTCATGTTGATATAGTCACTCCGTTCACAGCCGTGTCATGTTGATATAGTCACTCCATTGACAGCCGTGTCATGTTGATATAGTCACTCCATTGACAGCCGTGTCATGTTGATATAGTCACTCCATTGACAGCCGTGTCATGTTGATATAGTCACTCCATTGACAGCCGTGTCATGTTGATATAGTCACTCCGTTCACAGCCGTGTCATGTTGATATAGTCACTCCATTGACAGCCGTGTCATGTTGATATAGTCACTCCATTGACAGCCGTGTCATGTTGATATAGTCACTCCGTTGACAGCCGTGTCATGTTGATATAGTCACTCCATTGACAGCCGTGTCATGTTGATATAGTCACTCCGTTGACAGCCGTGTCATGTTGATATAGTCACGCCATTGACAGCCTTGTCATGTTGATATAGTCACGCCATTGACAGCCGTGTCATGTTGATATAGTCACTCCGTTCACAGCCGTGTCATGTTGATATAGTCACTCCATTGACAGCCGTGTCATGTTGATATAGTCACTCCATTGACAGCCGTGTCATGTTGATATAGTCACTCCATTGACAGCCGTGTCATGTTGATATAGTCACTCCATTGACAGCCGTGTCATGTTGATATAGTCACTCCGTTGACAGCCGTGTCATGTTGATATAGTCACTCCATTGACAGCCGTGTCATGTTGATATAGTCACTCCGTTGACAGCCGTGTCATGTTGATATAGTCACTCCATTGACAGCCGTGTCATGTTGATATAGTCACTCCGTTGACAGCCGTGTCATGTTGATATAGTCACTCCGTTGACAGCCGTGTCATGTTGATATAGTCACTCCGTTGACAGCCGTGTCATGTTGATATAGTCACTCCGTTGACAGCCGTGTCATGTTGATATAGTCACTCCGTTGACAGCCGTGTCATGTTGATATAGTCACTCCATTGACAGCCGTGTCATGTTGATATAGTCACTCCGTTGACAGCCGTGTCATGTTGATATAGTCACTCCATTGACAGCCGTGTCATGTTGATATAGTCACTCCGTTGACAGCCGTGTCATGTTGATATAGTCACTCCGTTGACAGCCGTGTCATGTTGATATAGTCACTCCGTTGACAGCCGTGTCATGTTGATATAGTCACTCCGCTGACAGCCGTGTCATGTTGATATAGTCACTCAATTGAGAAGGCTGTTGGCGGAGGTGTCGGAGATGTTATTGGTTAAAGGTGGCGTGGGCCAACAGAAGGATGTCGCTGTTGCCGGAGGTGGCGGGGGTGTTATAGGTTAAAGGTGGCGTGGGCTAACAGGAGGTCTGTGGCTGTTGTCGGAGGTGGCGGAGGTGTTATAGGTTAAAGATGGCGTGGGCCAACAGAAGGATGTGGCTGTTTGCGGAGGTGTCGGAGTTGTTATTGGTTAAAGGTGGCGTGGGCCAACAGAAGGATATGGTTGCTGCCGGAGGTGGCGGAGGTTGCGAGGGTGTTATAGGTTAAAGGTGGCGTGGGCCAACAGAAGGATGTGGCTGTTGCCGGAGGTGGCGGGGGTGTTATAGGTTAAAGGTGGCGTGGGCCAACAGAAGGATGTGGCTGTTGCCGGAGGTGGCGGGGTGTTATAGGTTAAAGGTGGCGTGGGCCAACAGAAGGATGTGGCTGTTGCCGGAGGTGGCGGGGGTGTTATAGGTTAAAGGTGGCGTGGGCCAACAGAAGGATGTGGCTGTTGCCGGAGGTGGCGGGGGTGTTATTGGTTAAAGGTGGCGTGGGCCAACAGAAGGATGTGGCGTTTGCCGGAGGTGGCGGGGGTGTTATAGGTTAAAGGTGGCGTGGGCTAACAGGAGGTCTCTGGCTGTTGTCGGAGTCGGCGGAGGTGTTATAGGTTAAAGATGGCGTGGGCCAACCATGCCGGACCACCATGCCGGACTACCATGCTGGACCACCATGCCGGACACACCATCCTGGACTCACCATGCCGGACACACCATGCCGGACACACCATGCCGGACCACCAGGCCACATAACATTTGACTTGTTATATTCACAGGACTCTTCGATAGCCTACTATAACGTCAGAGGTGGCGGGGATGTTATAGGTTAAAGGTGGCGTGGGCCAACAGAAGGTCTGTGGCTGTTGCCGGAGGTGGCGGAGGTGGCGGAGGTGTTATAGGTTAAAGGTGGCGTGGGCCAACAGAAGGTCTGT